TTAATAGAATTGTCAAAGTTTGTGCCTGTGTTTGTTTAAAAACTGAAAACATTGCGTGTGTTGAAGGGTGGTGGTTATAAAACTGACTTAAAATAATATATAATATAAATATAATTTACTAACAATGAATCTGGCAACGCTGTACGGAAAAAGGCAGGTAAAAACGATCGCAATATTGTGTACCGGGTGATTATTTTATCATTGAACATTGAACACTCATTATTTCAAAAATTACTAATGTTTTTGAAAATATTTTTTTACATAGTTTCAAGTTGTTCAAAAACCAACGTTTTTATTTTAAAATATTTTTTATCTTTATAATTTTTAAGTTTTTTAATTTTTTCAATGACAATATAGCGTTTTAATTTCATATTCCAAAGCAGAATATTTTTTAAGTATTTTGATTCATAAAATTCGAATTGAAGACGAGTTTATGAGTTATAAGTATTTAAAGTTTAGATTGGTAGAGTGTGGTACGGAGTTACCCCGCAAAATGTTTGTTCACTACTCCGCTTGTCTAAACTTTAAATACTTATAAAGTTATAACTCATACACTATTCGTTCTAAATTCAATTTTTATTAATCAAAATACTTAGAAAAATATTCTGCTTTGGAAHATGAAATTAAAACTCTATGTTGTCATTCAAAAAAGTAAAAAACTTAAAAAATGATAAGGATAAAAAATATTYAAAAATATMATTTTTTAATAAAAACGTTGGTTTTTTAACAACTTGAAACTATGTAAAATAWWATTTTCAAAAACATTAATAATTTTTGAAATAATGAGTGTTCAATAATAAAAGAATCACCCGGTATATACCTATTTGAAGCTAAAGTGGTTAATATAGATACCTATAACAAATCATCCATGTACTGAATTGATATCTAAATACATATTATAAACATACAGTGGCTATAGCCGCATTTCTCAACCAGGGAGTCGCGAACACCTTGACTTGGGGTCGCGTAGGTCAAAAATAATAAAACGMTTATTTAAAATTGACATTGATAATGATGGGATATTTTTACTGTTCAAATTTTTACCTAATATWGATGGAGGGGGGAGGTCGCGAAATGATTGCCCATRTTTATTACCTATTTTGGGAGTCGTGACACTAAAMACGTTGAGAAACGATGGGCTATAGTAAATACAGTTYTGTAATTATTGTTATAAGCCTTKTAATATTGGTAGGTATATTTAGGTAGGTATACAGGTATAGGTACTTACTATGAAAACAAATTTTAACTGTAAATGATCTTGATTGATAGATTTAGAAACACATTCGTTTGCAATAAATATTATTAAAAAAAAAGACTCTAAATTAAAATACTTCATATTATTATATTCGGTATTATTTTGTTAGTATTTTAAAATAAATATTTACTAACTCTGATTATAGTTCTGCTGAGTTGTACTCACGACACGAGATAGATGGTTAGTGGTTATATTAATAYTATATGCATGTTTACTGTTTACAAATGTTTTTAACTCACACTTTTAGACTTTAATACTGTAATGAATACGTCAATTTATACAGAGTGGTCCACTTAAAGAAACACACGTATTATCTCAGTCAATTGTACATTTTAAAGTTTATAACTAATATAATGATTTYTTTTATATAATTTTTATTTGATAATAGCCAATAGCTAGGTAACATTTCTTATCTTATCTTATTATATATTTTTATTTAATGATTTATAATTTTTATTTTATTTATAATAGTTAGGTACTTAAAATGTTTTAAGTTTAAATGACGGCTGAGACACGATTGAGCAAAAAAAAAAAAACTCTGCAACGTAGCCATTTTTAATTTTGAACTGTATTAAACAAAAATATTTATTTAAATATTTACTATAATAATTCAAAATATAACATGATTGCATAGTCAATAATATAATCACATTATAATAGAATAATATAGATCTGCAGTTTGATAATAATAATAGTTATGCTTATGAAAATAAGTTGATAAAGCTGGACTTGGCTCACGGCTTCGGGTTTGCGTTTTATATCAAAATAATTTGTGTAATAATACGTGAAAAGTTATTATTGCTTATTAAGTTATTATTATTGCTCAATCGTTTTATTCTCAATCGTGCTTTACCGTAAATGACAACCAGCATATAATTTTTAACTTCAGTAAACTTACTTACTTTGAAATCGAGTCCTACTGATAATGGTAATGTATACTAATAAAAATAAATATTATTTATTATTTATTGACTATAATATATAAGTATATTTTATAAACTATTAGATAAGATACGGGAGCATGTCAGCCATTGTCAGGGATTACCGTGATAATCACTAACCAGTATAATACGTTCATAATATTATTAACTTAAAATTGAAACTTTATTATAATAATTTATAAGTAAGAGACTATTGGTTCAATACCTGTCCTATTCAATAGACAATATTCAATATTCATATAACATAATCATAAAATTATTTTATTTTGATATAATAATTATGAAATAATGTGGCCATGTGTGGATCACCATAAAAAAAAAAATAGATAAGGAACCGAATAACTTAATAAATTTAACTATATATTGCAAAATAATAAAAAAAAATAGATTTGAAAAAAATAAGAAGAACTATAATCGCAAAATTTTGCTGGGCCCGAGGCAGATTATTTTCACGGGCCTTAGAAGTTTACTAGCAACAAATTTYGATAACACATTCGACATCGTGAATACAGATTGAGAATGTCGATTGTCAGGCGTGCGTGAGCGGGACTAACAAAAGTTGCACGGACGATCGGTCGTTTAGAGAATAAAAACTTAAACGAGTAAGTTGACAAAATTGCGAATAGTGTTTAATGTCGTCGCACAACAAAGCTATACGGTGAGCGGCGTAAATATTACGTGCTTGCGCGAATACTATAGATCACTGTAGAGCCTTACAACGAGTACAACAACAAAAAGGACGGGGCGAAATTCGGTCGATGTAGGTATAAGCGTTGTTACCGCGCGGTATCGTCACATCGCTCTCACCCGCACATTCCGTGGACGTGGACAGGTCACGTTGCACCTTGAACGTCCTTTCCTAGCGTTCGAGGACGACGAGCGGGCCTTCGTAACCAGGCTGGAACGGTGGTCTGACCGCGCGCGCGTATATGCGCGCGGTGAAAACGTTCCATCATCCCGTTGCAGTCTAAGGGTGCATATAGCGATATTCAAAATTTCCTGAATGCTGAAGGCATATCCAACTCCTACTGTCGGCCTTGGTTGGTGGTAATGACGTCGGGCAAGCCGAACCGTGCCATCCAGTTCGTTGTTAAGAGCTCCWCGGCTGCATAGGCCGACATATTCTCGATCTGTCACGCCTCTAGCCAGCGCGTGAATCGGTCGACCCAATCAAGTCAAGGTGAATATGACTGAAGCGTCGTTCGGTGTGATGCTGAACGTCTTGTGTTTGTGTACTTTGGCGTGTTGGCTGCAGCACGGTTGACAGATTGATYTCTTGATCCATGTCCAGCCTGCTGCAGCAATACCGCAATTTGATTAGTCGGAGGGTGGCGCGGCGAACGTTTTGCGCTTGACCGTGCAACGAGTCGATAGCAGCGTGCGCTGCCCGTGGAATAATCCAAATTCAGCACTCCGTTTCCAGGAAAGGTGCGCGCTTGCAGCGATGACGAACTTGTTGTATTATTCGGCGATGGAGCTGCGGATCGTTAGTTCAATCGATTCCCCACTGCCATAAGTCCGGTAGCGTTGTTGTCTCAGCGACTTCAATTGCCGACAGCGCGTC